AGAAGAAGAAGAAATAAACGATAAAAAGACGAAAAGAGGAATGAGGAAGAGGAGGGAAGGAGGAGGACGGAGGAGGAGAAGAGGAGAGGAAGAAGAAGCGACGAAGGAGGAGAGGAGGAGAGAAGACAGAAGAAGAAGAGAGAAGAAGAAGAAACCGAGGAGGAGAGGAGGAGGAGAGAGGAGAGGAGGGAGGAGAGGAGGAGTGAGGAGGAGAGGAGGGAGGAGGAGGAAGAGAAAAAAGAGAAGAAAAGGGGAGGAGGAGGGAAGGAAGAAGAGAAAAGAAGAAGAAGAAGAGGAGGGGAGGCAGGAGGGCAGGAGGAGGGAGGAGGGAGGGAGAAAGAAGAAGAAAAAGAAAAGAAGGAAAAAAGAGGGAGGGGGAGGGGGGAGGGGGCGGGGGGGGGGCGAGGGGCGGGTGGTGGAGGGGAGGGGGAGGACGGAGACAAGGAAAGAAGGAAGAAAAGAGGAGTTAGAAGAGAAGAAGAGTAAGAAGGGGCGGAGGAGGAAGAGGGGGGGAGGCACGGGGGGGGGGGGGAGGGGAGGCGAGGCGGGAGGAGCGAGGAGGAAGGAAGAGAAGAGAAGGAGGGAGAAGAGGAAGAAGAAGAAGAGGAGGAGGAGAGGAGGAGGAAGAAGGAAGCGAAGGAGGGAAGGAGAGGAGGAAGCGGAAGAAGAAAGGAAGGAGAGAGAGGAAGAAGAGAGAAGAAGAAGAAGAAGAAGAAGGCAGAAGAAGAATAGAGAGGCACGATGTAACAACGCGGATGGCAAGGCCGGAGTGAAAATTGGATGATCTCATTCCGTTTGCCCCCGCACGTGTTGTGCGTTGATAACTGAAAGTGAGGGTAAAATATATAAGTAGCGGATACTATCTTAGATATTCTTTGAACCGGTTTTCCCGAAGCAAGAAGCAAGAGGGAAGAAGAGGAAGAAGAGAGAAGAAGAAGAAGAAGAAGAAGAAGAAGAAGTGTAGCCGTTTCTCAATGATCTAAGCAGTGTATATACACACTAACACCTCACACACACACGCACGAACGCCCGCACCGCACACACGCACACACGCACGCAGGCACGCACACACGCACACACACACACACACACACACACACCACACACACACACACACACAACTCACGCACACACACACACACACACACACACACACACACACACAACCACACACCACACACACACACACACACACACACCACACACACACATATATATATATATATATTTATTTATTTATTTATATATGTGCCTTGTTTTGAAGGAAGAGTACTAAGAAACCTAATGGTGGCCGAGACCGAGAGCTGAGGGTAACATTCATTTTCAAGGTTCCACAACATTTTTTCCCGTTTTCCCGTACAAACCCTGTAGAAGCCGTCCTGACGTAAAAACACCAAGTTACACGGCGCTTGGACCACAATGGCTTCATTTTAAATGGAAATCAGATGTGAAAACATAAATTGCTTATATATATATATATATAATAATAATATATATATAATATATATAATATATATATATTATATATATATATATAAGAAATATAAAAGGAAAGAAAGCACCAAATAAAGTGTGACACGATCAGAGATGCGAGTAACGTGGTTTAAATCTGGCAACTTTTTATGTGCCGATTCCATGCTCGGTCAAACTTGTAAAAATAGATAACCTCTATATTCACCACGCCACCCGTGCATGCCTCTGTATCAAATATAGTGAGCGAGCTGTTAAAAGTAATCACATTTATTATTATATAATAATGGTTATATGTTTCAATCAATAATACTTTGTACGAATGCGTATATTCCACACCAGAGCACGTATATCCATATGATAGATTGACTACGTGCTCTGTTCACACTACACGTCTAGGCGCGCGCATTCACATAGTTAACTGCTTATATGGCGCCCTCTATCTCAGTTACGGCTTACCACAGTGAAGATCAATTCACTAACAAGTGCAATATCTTACATGTGACATGTCGTGTAAATATATAGCGGA